TGTTACTTAATTCATTGCTTACTACATCTTACTACCTTCTTAGTGCCAGTAAAGATAAGAGGGAATGAATTGGTAATAGAGAAAGGTAGTCATTTTCGTTGAAAATGATCACTGTTCTCTATTACCTAATTCATTCCTTGCCAGCCTTCTTAGCAGGCGCTACTAAAGAGAAGGGAGAATGAATTAGATAACAGAGAAAGGGTGGTCATTTTTGTCAAAAAATGACAACCCTTCATTTCAGAGGGATGTTCCGTGGCAGATACTTTGGGAGGTTGCCTTTACGCGAAATAGATGTCCGACTATCGTGCCTGAGTGGGTGGGCGCAGGTTGCAGTTGAGAGTAAGTTCGTTTGTGCAGCGCCCACCGCTGATGGAAGTAGTCTGCTCATTGCACCTGATAATATTCAAAGCAAAGAGAGTGTTTCGTTTTGGTTCCGGACAGGTTGTATTGTGGTTGTGCGGAATCATTGTCAGAAGACAATATTCTTAAATTGCGGAACAAGGAATACATGGAAGAAATGTGTTGCAGAGCGACAAAGTTTTCCAAGCGGAAAATATTGCGAGAGAAGCGTTGCAGGACTTCCAAAGCTTCACAGAAGGTCTTCCAGCTGCTCAGAGGCAGCACGATCTTCCTGCAGCTCCAGAAATCACCGCAGGACTGCCTCAAGCGCCTGGACTAACTAAACAAGAGGTGTTTTTTCTCTTGTTGCTGAGGAGCGCCCGCAAGATAACGATCCAAGTAGCGACAGCGTTTTGAGCTCCTGTCCATCACATTTGCTCCAAAAAATGTGCTTGGGCCGCTCAGTTAAAGCTTGAGCCAGAATCTTCAACGGGTCCTTCTCCTTCCCATTGTTTGCTGCCAACGTTGAGCCCAAAGGCAGAGCAGGTGAAGCAGGAAGCCCCCGCTTCACGCAAACTGCATTGCAATCAAGGGCACACAATGGTGCCTTCGTGAACCAGCATCGTGGCCTCTCTGGAAACGAGTGGGCAGCCAGCTGGTTCCTATGGTGGAGTTTGAGAAAGTTGTGTGCGATCGCTGCAGTAAAAGCACGCCAGCCGCAGCATACCGGTGTGATGTGTGCAATTTGGACTGTTGTCAGTTTTGCGCAGCTCGCTGAAGCTTCATAGTCTTCACTTGTTGGCTGTAGATAGTTGAGGTGTTTTGAGTCTATATCTCCAGAAGAGTTGAGCCTCACATGTGGACGTCAAGGTCGGTCAGCATCCATCAATCCGTTCTCAGCTAAACTTGCACAGCATTGCTGTTAGGTCGGGCCAGCATTGGCCAGGTCACCAGCGATCCATCCAGCGGCACTGCTGTTGCCACCATGGTGAGTCTTGCCCTACGTCGCCACGGATCCATATGACACCACTGCATGACATCACTGCTGTTGCCAGTTGCCACCCCAGGACTGCCCGAGGTCACTACGGACTTAGTGGCAAGGATGGCTCAAATGCGTCTAGAGAACATTCAATGTGCTTCATTCTTCGGCTGATCTCGGGCAACACTACATCACTACGAGATCAACACTACTGTGGCCCCCGAGCATATCATTGCCCCACATCATCGCAGATCCGTCGCCCTGCAACATCCTGGGCCTCCCCCATCGAAGACGTAGAAGGTCCAGTCTGCAATCAACATGTAGGCTCGTCTGAGCAGGCAAGAGAAATGTCATCGATAGCAAAGGCGCAGACCACTGACACCACAAAAGTCCCAACGCCTGCCGAAGATGCCATAGTGTTGCAGGGGGAAAAAATCCACAACATGTACGTTCCAGGTCCTCCAGATGCTGCAGGAAGAAAGCTCACGGGCATCCAAGACGCAGTTGCAATGAGAACAGAATGTCTGACAAGAATTTGCCCTTAGTTGCGAGTGCCTGAAGGTCCTTTAACAACCAACGACAACCCAAAAGGAAGAAGCTGGACCTAAGTGATTCCTGCCCCGGTTGCACGAAGCGAACATGTGAAAAATGTTTTGACAGGAGGCGTCACCAAGGTAACATCCCACAGTCGGTGCTCAAGCACGAAGTGTCCAAAGGCAAGATTATTCATGGTCTTGGCACCCTCAAAAAGGGGGGCCCTGTGTCAGCGCGAAGGTTCTTATGATCCCTGAGAAGGTAACAGACATGCCTGAAGAATTTGACATTGCGGCCGCCAAAGCTGACAGGCGCGTGCCCACTGAACAGCCACTAGACCGGTATCTGAAAGGACATTTTGCGCTAAATATTGTTATCACGCGACAAAGCTCGACGCTTTCCAGCACGGACAACTAAGGGCATAAACACAATCATCATCTGAAAATGGGACGGAGGGGCCTCAGAAAGCACCGAACTACCTGATAGCGTGCACAAACTGGGGTGAGAGCCACCCCGTACGAAACGGCTTCTGGAAGGAAACAGCATGGGCTAGGCCACATTGTAGGAAGCGTCTAATTTCGTGAAAGTAAGGACATCTGCCAGAAAAAACTATCTGAAAGGAAAGACCTTGTCGCAGGAAACGCCCTGTAGAGGAAACCGCCTTGCTGGAGGACAAACCTTGTCGGAGGAAACGCTCTTTCAAGCAGCCAACGAACAAAACACCGGCTGCTTTCGGAAAACTGAAGCATTCAACAAATGGTTTCGTTTCATGCTTTCACTGCGCCAAAACACTTCCATGTGACTACAAAGCTATGCGCAATACTCCAAATACAAGTCAAGCGCTGCAAACGTGCAACATATTTTGACATTGAAGCAAAACGGCAGCAACGGGCAAACGTATTCACCAGCAAGGTACTCCTCCTAAACGAAAACAACACGTAGATGTAGCTGCCAACGTGTCTGATGGCAGAGCTGTCCAAAACACATTGCGGCACACTATCCCAAACTGTTGCCTGTGAAAACTTGGTTGCAGCCACCTGCGCATGCTCATACTTTGGCGACAACAACACCGCTCACTCCTAAGCAAAAAACCTGGTATGACTCGGTTAAAACGGCTGCGGACATTCGACATGCAACATGTTTTTTTTGATTGCAAGTACAAAGTACAAATTGGCTCTGCTCAAGGTCAACTGCCCACGGAATCGTCATGAACTGCAATTCACGTTGCAATTTGCAGCTTGGCCTACTGGCAAACGCTGACCATGGTGGTGACAGCATGGCGGTGTCAGCAGCGATGTATTTGCTGGTGACGCGGGCAACGGTGACCGACCTGGACAATGGTGACAGCGTGGCGGTGACGCAGCGATGTACAAGAACAGCTAAGGACGGATGATTTGTTGCTAGGCAACGCTGACATGGTGGCGATAGCATGGTGGTGGCAGCAGTGCTGTGCGCGATCAGCTGAGGATGGATCGCTGCTGACCTGGGCAAGGCTGATCATGGTGACGTCAGCGTGGGCCTGGTGTGCAAGGTTAGGGAGTTAGGGAGCATCAGTGGCCTCTGCTCTGCAGACACTCTGTGTCCACACACTCTGTGTCCACCGGTGCGATGTTGCACCCTCCCGCAGTTAATGAGCTACGCTGTTCACATCCCATTTGCCAGTAGCTGCCGCTGAGCCGCGACCAATGGTCGTGTTTATAGCTCGCTAGTAGGTCAGACCAGACCGCTCCGGGAGAAAGTGATAAAGTGATTGGCCATTGCGGGAGGCGGGTGAGGAGGCCCTATCGTGAATGCTTTGGTTGTGAACCCTTTCAAGTGCATTAGTTGATGGTCAAACGTTTGCTCAGCAATGAGGCTTCAGGTCCATCTTGAACGGAGGTGACTCGGGATGAGACTAAACCTTGGGCGGTGCACCGTATCCGGGACCATGGCACCGGCTGTGGCCCGGAGTGCATAGCGTGCACTGGCAACAGCCCGTGGTGCAAGCAAAGCTCACTCCGAATTCTCCGTGATCTGGAAAAGAACGTTGCATGAGTTCAGTATAAATTGAAAGACTATTGTGATGTATTGAAGATATATATTTATATATACATATATTTGGATGATGGAATTTGGACATATCATGATAACAAAGAAGAAACCTTTCCGTGTGCGGACTTTATTTTTGTTTGTTACATGACAGCCCCTCAAGAAAGCGGCGTATTTCCAAACGACTGTTTTCATGTCTCCAACATGATGTTTTCATGTGGTCACGAAAACTTCTGTCAGGCATTTTGGACAGGATTTGAAACAAAATTTCAGAAGATCATGTCTTTCGGTCACGATTTGTGCGTCCATGATACCTTGATATCCGATGCTTGTGGCTTCAAGTTCCGCAAGCACAAATCAAAGTTTTTCCCATGCACCAGCCCTTGGGGAGATTCGGAATGAGCCTAAACTTTGGGCGGTACACCGTACCCGGGCCCATGGCACGGGCTGTGGCCCGGAGTGCAGAGCGTGCACTGGCAACAGTCCCCGGTGCACGCAAAGCTCACTCCGAATTCTCCGTGATCTGGAAAAAAACGACCGTTGCATGAGTTCAGTATATTTGAAAGACTATTGTGAGGTATTGAAGATAAATTTTTTTGATGGTGGAATTTGGGAATATCATGACAACAACAAAATTTTGTGTTGTGCGACTTTTGCATGTTTTCACTTTGGGCCCGAGACTTGCCTGGTGTAACATTGTTGAAAATGCTTTTAATGTAGCTGCAGCCTCAAAACTTGTGCAACTTAGGTAACCTTTAAAAACAGAACAGCAGCCAGGTGGGCTTGCATATTTGCCATTTGTTGAGCATGGACTCACTGCCACCACTCCCTGATCAGCCCTAGGTTTCTACATGCACACTGTTGTGCATGAATTGCAGACTTAACACACCTCATTGTCGTATACATTTCCTGTTTGACCATTCCATGAGCAAACCTTTTAACCCCTCATCCTGAAGCTGTTCAGCAAACCTTCATATTTGACACTTTCGAAGTGCCTGCCCTGCAGGGTCAACACATTTATTTTTGAGCCCTAAAACTTAAATCGGATGGCTTGAAACTTTAAACCTTAAATCCTGAACCCTACACCCGCAACCCTAACCTCCCCAGCCGGGTCTAAGCCATGACCAAGCTGCCGAAGCCGCCCGTGGACTGTATCTCGCGCGTGCGGTTTACTCCAATCGAAGGATCTCCCTGGGTTAGGGGTTTAGGGTTTAGGATAAACCGTACCTTAAATTCTAAATCCCAAACGTTGAAAAATGAGTGATAATTTTGATAGCTACTCAGGCTCCAATTCCGCTGAACTCACAAACTTTCATGCTTAGGGAATGTGGGCGCAGGGACGTTCAAGGGCATAAGGTTGCAACGGTTTAAAGTTCAGGGTCTGGGGTTTAGGGTTGCGGCCAAAATTGTTGTTGCAGCAGTCACCAAAATGCATGCGTTCAACAAGTAGAGTTTAAGGCTCAAGGTTTAAGGTCTAGGGTTATAGGTTTTTGGTTTCAAGTGCAAGGGTTCATGACATGTGGCAGAGAATGTTTTTTTTCCTGAGGAAAGGACAAGAAAATCGCCGGCGCTGCACAGTCATCAGGGTCGTATTTTATGTTGCACGGACCGCTATCAATTCTATTTGTATCATCTTCCTTTTTTTTCCGCCACTGGTTCGCCTCATTGTTCTGACCTGTATACAGGTATGTGCTGCCGTTGCTTTTTGGTGTGGCACCAGTGCGTAGGGTCCAAAAACTGGATGTTCAGCTCCGATCCAATGCTTTCAAGTCGAATTTGCACGGCAAAAACATGTGATGAACCATATATGACCCCCGAGCGGCTAAGGGTGATTGATAGAAGGTTGTTCTTGATCATGCGTTCTGAAACTCCAAACCCGAAACCTTAACCCTAAACCCTGTAGTAGTTTCCATTTTCGTTTCCATTATCCCAATATATAACCCCCTAAATCCATGAAGAACTTTGAACATTATCCCGAACAGGAAACGTGCAGTTTCTTGCAGCATCTTGGGACTGTCTCTAGGCCGAATCGCAGTTTCAAAACGTGTTGGGTTTGAGGTTGGGTTGGGGTTTAGGGGAAATGGAAAACTGGAAACCAGGGTAGCGGATAAGCGGTTTAGGGTTAAGTCTTGGCAATTTAGGGTTCAGGGTTTGGGGTTTTGTGCCTGGGTTTAGGTTTTGAGTGTAGGGTTTAAGGAAATGAAATTCAAATTCGGACCGTGGTTTATCTGGCGTAAGGAGAATTTGGAGGTGGACGTGCGCCCGATGGCAAGTCTTTCTAAAACGGGATGTATAAAGTTTAGGGTCGGTGTCCCCAAACCTACAGGGTCCGTTGAAGAGGTGATGTAAGGGATGTTGAGGGTTTAGGGTTTCGGGTATGCAGCGGATATATGGAGATATGTAAGGGTATATATGTATAATATTTATATCCATGTGGGGAATGGAAAAATAATCGAAGCTACCATGTTATGTGGGGCTTTTCACAAGGGATCCCTGTCACTTGATGTGATTAAGAGTCCCTTCAGGGAGTCCTTCCGGATAGCCCTTGATTATGGCTTGGGTGTTTCGGCCCAGAATCCAAACCCTAATCTCAAACCTTAAGCTCTAAGCTCTTTCTGGTGATCCTAAAAATCCTGCATCGCTTTGGTATTTGTATTGCTCTTCCGGTAGAAGGTACTTCGGGTCATGCAAGACTTTTTAGTATTGGCGGTAACGCTACGCCCTAAGCCCCAGTTGTTGCTCTGGCTTTCTTAGGCACAGTGAGGCTTTACGACGCGGGTACCCACCGACTACTTGGACCCCCCGTCTTGTTTTTTTCAGCAGGTTTAGGGTTTTGGTTGAAGGTGACTTTGGGGCCTTGAGTTCGCAAGTCAAATGGTTTAGGGTTTAGAATGCTTGTGTTGTCAACTAGGTGCTAGTGCATTGGGGAAAAGCTCAGGTAATTGCCCAGCAATATCCTGCAGCTTCTTCTGATTCCCAATACAAATACACCGAGAGTTCATAATATACCGTCTAGCTAGGTTGTCCATTTATAAGGGTGCAGGTTCATATGAAGTACATTATACCGTATCATATTTGTTCTTTTGCAGTGTGTTGCAGTACATGATTTGTGTGGCCAACGGTTGGTGACCTTGGACCTTGAACCCTACAAGCCTCACATAATCTTAATATAGTATATTCCCTCATTCCCTAAACCCTAAAACCCTAAATGCTGTAGTTCCCCACAAGCTATGTAATCTCAACATAGTATATTCGCTTATTCCCTAAACCCTAAACCCTAAACCCTAAAACCTAAATGGGGGGGCGGCACCAGGTCAATTAGCGTCTCGGAGTCGATTTAGGTTTTGGGGCTCAAGGTACAGGGGTCGCGGTTCTGGGGTGTAGGGTTTGGGGGATTAGGGTCTAGGGTTTAGGGCTTAGGGTTTGGGGGGATTACGGTTAAGGGTTCAGGGCGACGAGTTTGGATTTGCTCTCCATGGCTCACGTTTAGGCTTTGAGGCTCATTGAGGTATGGAAGCTTTTTCAAGGTACATAGGCCAGGATGGGTTGACTCGTGTTTTCGAACATGCTCCCCAATTTAGGGTTTATTACCATTGCTTGGGGTTTGGGGGGGGTCATTTTGATTTTAACAATCTAAATTTGAGGAAACTTGGGGGACCCTAAGCAATGGTAAGTTTACATGGGCTTGAGGGTTTAGGGTCACGCACCTTGGCTGGGTCATTCCCCCTCCCAGTAACTGTCCTTAAGGAGGGGGGTCTTATTAAGGGGGTTCTTCTAACTCCTATAACCCATTGTGGTAACAGTTACTGTAAGGGGGAATGACCCAACAACTTGGCATGTAAACTTTTGGGCTTGGAGCTCGCTTGCAGAGTTTTTGCTATTCTTTGGGCTTGCTGGTGAGGATGAGTGGTGCATTGTGTGGCCATATCGTGTATACTTTGGGTACTGCCCCCACTCAGTAACACTTGGATAATAAGTATAGAATGGTTATTTATAGCCCTTAATAGACCCCTAATATAGATTGTTACTGGGTGGGGGCAGTACCCAATGTATACTCTATGAGGGCCAGCTTGGGCATCAGGAAAAGAATCACTGTAAAAATATTGAACCCGGAATAGCCTTTGAGCCAAAGCCCCACCGACCCCTACATGGCCCTATACACCCCTATATGGGAACTCCCCAAAATTAGGGGTACCTTTGGGGGGAGTCCCTATAATAAGGATCATAGTATTTTGGGGTCTATATTGGGGTCCCGCTATTTTGGGAAACTACCATATAGCCTTATATACCCTTATACTTTCCTATACAGCGCCCGCCTCTATATTCCTGTTGGAGCCCTATATACCCCAAACCCTAAACCCTAAACCCTGTATGAGACTCCAAGCCAAGAACTCTTGTCCCTAGCCCTAGACCCCTAAGCCCTAAGCCCTAAATCCTAAACTCTGAACCCTAAACCCTAAACCCTAGACCCTGAACCCTAGATCCAGCACCTGCAACAGGACAGCACAAGCAGTCACTGCCCATCCTGGATGCTGTATTCTTCGAGGCCCATCCTTGGTGTAGGGTTTGGGGTTTAGGCGTCTGGGGTTTAGGGTTGAAGGGCATATTGTTGCGCAGGCGGTGTTGATGAGTGAATGCTGCCTGTGCATGATTGAAGCAAGATCGGAGGCAAGCGAAACGGGACACGTCAGCAGCCGACACTCCTCCGGTTGCATTCATCTCAAGGATGTAGTGTTTGTATAGCCAGAACACTAGCAATGCGCAATGGGGTGGGGTCATGCCAAGCACGCGAAATCGAAGGTACAGGTCTCGGGCCAGTCGAGGACTGGCGCATGCTAGAAGGGTGCGGTGGCTAGAGTGGCGGTCGCAACAACATGTGCAGATTCCAGCTGACCGTCTGTGGCTGTTGCATCGATTCACAGAACTGTTGTCAAAGCAGGCAGGATGCTTTGGAAGACAGATCCCCACTAAGGGCATTGCCAATCATCCGCAGATTGGACGCCAGCGAGACATTTTTCCTCACAGTCAGCTTTCATCTTCGGAATGCAAACTGGGCAACTGGAGCACTCAACGCTGGGGTCTTTTCAGAGGCTTTGTTAATGCTGTCATCGGGGCTTTGAATAGGTGTTATGGTGGCAAGAGTCAAAGTGGCAACATCACTTGCCGCACTGCCGCACACATGGATGTTTTGCATCGAATCGTGGAGCGATGTGTTGATTTCCATGACAGGCTGCAAGCGCCGGAAGATGGCAGTTGGGAGTCCTTGGTGCCTGATTGGGTGCTTTTGCGTCACCGTCCAGAGGGTCCGAAGTACGGAGACCTGTGTGCTGACAAGGTGGACGTGCTGCAGCATGCGGGTGTTTGCGACCCTGTGGAATGCTTGCCGCCAAGTGTGCAGACGATTATCCAGGATGATAAAGCCATGTTTGCAAACGCGTCATCTGGTTTGTCTGAGTTTGAGAACGTAAACCCTGCAGACCGAGCTGAATACATCAAGCTTGTGGTGAGGCAGTTGCGTGCTAAGCAACTTGGCCTTGCTGTCCACGCTTTGGGAGGTGGCAAAGTGGTCGCTGTGGGCAAGCCTGGAGGTAAACGCCAGCGGGCAGTGTGGAACGGCAGAAGAGTTTCTTTAGCAGCCTCACGTCCACCGAAACCTAGACACTTGGCTTCCCCTACAGCGCTCGCTCATTTGGAGTGCAAACCAGGCAAGCAGATCAGGTGCAGTAAGCGTGATGCCACCTGTTGGTTCGATCAGTTGCGTATTCCATCGGAGCTTCAACGTTGGATGGGCAGACCCAGCGTGAGCTGCGACGAGTTGTATTTAGCTGGCATGACTTGGGAAGAGATTCAAGACTGCAGGCTTCCCGGCGAGCCCGAAGGTGTATCCTCATTCTATCCTGTGAGCTTGACTTGGCCAATGGGCTTCGCGTGGAGCTCATACATAGCGCAAGAGTTTCTGCTTGACATTTGCAAAGCAGCCGATTTGGACGAGTCCCGCATTTTGTCTTGTGACGCTCCTACTCCTGCCTCCTTTGACGCGGTGTTTTCTGCGGCCACAGATGATGTCATGATCTTCAGTGATGAAGGAGCAGGGCGTACGTCAGGCCTGGCGAGCAAACTGGATGCCGAATTCTGTCGCCGTGGTGTTGTCCGCAATGAAGCCAAAGATGTGGATGACCAGCTTGATGCCACTTGCGTTGGGGTTGCCCTAGAATCTGGCAGGTATCTTGCGGTTCCTCCAGCACGGTGTCTGGCCATGTTTGTTGGAGTTTTGTGGCTCATGGCTTGCAAATATGCTTCGCCCAGGCAGGTTCACCAGCAGTTGGGGACACAGCAATGGTTTGATTTGCTGTGCCGGTGCAAGCTCTCTGTTTACGACAAAGTTTACAGTTTTGTCCGAAATCCTTCTGACACCCTTCCCCGCAACATTCCAAGCCCTGTGCTTGTAGAGCTTGCAGTTGGCATTTTGCTTGGTGTCTTTTGGCGGCTCGATTTGCAGAGGCCTTTCTTACCGCTGCTTTCAGCTACTGATGCTTGCACAGAGTTCGGGTTTGGGGCAAGCGTTGCACGTTTGCCCGAAGGCATGGTTCGCAGATTGGCTCGCATCTCGGAGAAGCAAGGGGGCTATGTGGTGCTAAATGGTTCTCCATCCAGTCGTGAATCCCATGGTTCCTGGGGCCGAGCTCACCGTCTCGGGGTGAGCTTGAGTGATTTCGTCGACATCTTCAGTGTGAGAAAGCGTTTTGAGGCTCACATAAATGTGCTTGAAGGTGAGGCTTTCCTCATCTGGCTGCGCTGGCTGCTCCGCAGCAGAAGCCGGCATTGCAAGCGGGTCGTGGTGCTTGTTGACAGCGCTGTTTGGCTGGGAGCTGCAGCCAAAGGAAGGTCCTCAACTCAGCTGAACAGGTTGTTGCGAAAGGCAGCCGCCATGGAGTTGGCTGGCGAACTGCAAGTGTATTTGGTCCTGGTCCCATCGGCTGAAAACGCATCTGACAAGCCGTCACGAGGAGTGCGCAGGCGCAAGACCCCGGAGCATTGTTGTACTGCGCCCCCGCCATCACCCTATTGAAACATGAAGTATGGTTTTCTGTGGCATGGTTCAGCGCCCGACTGCTTTCTGCCTTGCTTCAAAGCATCTGGCATGATGTGCAATGGTCTTCTGCTGTCCTAGCTCATCCAGTCGAATTTGTTTTGTGGTGTACAGTTTACTTCGGCTAGCATCGCACGTCCATCCATGCTCTCCGGGCTTTCGGGCTGATTGTATGGCAGTGGGTACCTTGGTGCTTGTACCTTTGGGGTGCACATCAAGTGGTGCAATCGCGTGTTGGCTTTCGTTGGTTGCCTTCTGGGCCAACGTGGTTGGCCACTTTCTGGGCCTAAGTTGTTGGCCATTGGCAGCTTTTGGTGAGCTTTCGCGTGCTTGCAGCTCGTCTCTTCTGCAAGATTCGAGCTAATCCAATAATTCGCGGCCGTTCGCCGCATCGGCACTGGCCAGTATTGGCTGGTTGGGTGTGGATTGCAGTTGGGCTCAACATCCTTTGCAATCGCAGCTGCAGCAAATGCAGTGACATGTTAACCTCCTGATGCTGGCTGAGCGGTTTTTGACAAAAAGAGGGGAGAGATGGCTGCAACTGGCTGTGCTGAAAGTGCTACAGGGCACTTCTCTGGTCGTGGCTGCAGAAGCCGTTTGCAACAATGAAGGGCATATTGTTGCGCAGGCGGTGTTGATGAGTGAATGCTGCCTGTGCATGATTGAAGCAAGATCGGAGGCAAGCGAAACGGGACACGTCAGCAGCCGACACTCCTCCGGTTGCATTCATCTCAAGGATGTAGTGTTTGTATAGCCAGAACACTAGCAATGC